TCATTTCAATCACGGGGCACGGTAACTGATGAAGAATAGACACAGATGAACTAGAGGAAGTAATCAGCCAATACTCTGAAGCAGGCACCTCCAGGTGTCCCCGGCCTCAGTGTGCCTAGCTGACGCATGCAGGACTATTGCGCACACACACGTGCAGTGAAGGGACCCACAACTCTTAACAGCAACTAGAGATGAATGTGAAAGATCATTCCAGACCTTCCCTTCTACTTTCTTAGTAAAGAGCAAGAACAAAACCAAACAATTTTTCCTCTTAAAAGATTTTCAGTCTCGATACATCTTTATAACTTTCAAAGTTCTTTCAGATGCCTTGTATGATTTGAACCTCAGAGCCAAAAGAAAGGCTAAGACATCATTATTCATTTTTCAATGAAGAAAAGACATAGAACAGTTAAGAGACACCTTTAAAGCCACACAACTCAGCCACAACGGTGATAAAATCAGTGCCCTAAAAAACCATTTCATTTCACTCCCTCCTCCCACTGACTCTCCTTCCATTGGTCCATCTGCCCGCCCGTCCCAGCAGCCACGTGCCAGGGTCCAGACGAGGCGGACGAAGCAATGGTTAAAAACTCCAGTAGCAGTTTTATTACTGTGTCGTGCCACACTACGTCCAAACACGTGTTTCCTGACCACGCGGGTCTCTGAGAGAACTGACTTTTAAGGAACTGCCGATCTTCTGCAGCTCCCGTGTACAGTGGATTCTGGAACGGGAAAGTCACAGAGGCAATGGGCACGGGGACTCGGCAGCCTCCTCGGCGATGAACCTCCTGTAGATCTATTCTTAAAAATCATCACCTGGAGTAGCACCTACCGCAGGGGAGCGAGTGCAGGGTTAACGGGCCGTGGAAGTTGGCACTACTGCTCCCGCCCTGCTTTCTTTCCTTGTAGCTTGAAAGCAAAGCGTGAGTGCCAAGCTCTTCGGCATCATACCCTAACGCTGCCCCCGGCATTGCTGCGAGAGGAGGGGCCGTGCCGGAGGGGCAGTTCAGTCCCTCACCTGCCCCGGGAGAGGCCGACGGCAGGCCCTGGAGGCCTGCTGAGGGAAAGCAGGAAGGCACCCTTGGGCTGATTCCCTTTGAACACACGAGTGTCTCATTAAAAGGTTTCTGAAAAGCCGGTCTGAGCACCTGAGTGGATGAGAGAGAAACAGTGAGTTTGGTGTCGGCTGAGCCGGGACACGGCACAGGTCCTGCTAAAGGCAGACAAACGGGGGTCCGGCTGGGAAAACACTGAGCTGCCCTGATGCCCGCACTGACCCAGAGCAGGAACAGAGCTGGCTCTCGAGTCAGGCACTTCAACGGGGGAGTGAGAAAGAGCCAGAAGAAAGAGCGGTCACCCCAAATTCAGCTGCCAGCGCCTGCTCGGACACTGGGGACGCCAGAGTCTGCAGAAAGGCGGTCGGAGGAACAAAGACATTCCCCAGCAGCTGAGAAAGATTGCAGATGAACCGCGGATGATGCCCGAGGTTCAAGAATCAAACGGTCTCGCTGTTAATTATTTTAGGAAGTCTTTTGTTAGTAGCGGAGAAGCAGGAGACTCGAAAACAAGGAATCTAGTCTGAAGGTTACAAAGAAAGAGGGAGAAGCTGAAAATTATAGAGCTGTAAATCTAACATCTATATTAGGAAATAAATTTGAGATGATACTTATGGATGAGCTTAATGATACATTTGGAGAAGTACAATTTAATAGGAGTGAGTCAGCATGGGTTTACCAAAGGCAATCATGTCAGAAAAAAATTTTGTTCCTTTTTAGGTTGAAGTAATAATTGGTTTATGTAAGCGAGAGCACCAATGAGAAACTGTCAGGATTTTCTGAGATTTTTGGACCTTTTCATAAAATGAATTATTGTGCAAAATGTCAGGACATGTGTCAGACCGTCCCGCTAACAAAAGGGACGGAAAGGAATGGGGTTAAAAATAGAGGGCCCCAATGTGTGGGAGCCGGTGCCATTCTCAGAGCTCCGAGCGCAGGGCGCTAATGCTTCTTAATTCATGATGAAGAGCCTCCTTTATACTCGGAAATTTGAATATGCCGCTAAATGAGAGGGAATGGGAAGGTACAAAAGGCCACCCCTGCTTTATCTGAGCCGGGAGGGATGAAGCAAATGGGCTCAGAGGTGGAATGTGAAATTTAATCTGCCTAAGTATAAAGTATAAAGCACTTGCAGAGAATTAAGGAATCAGTTAAGAATACTTTAAATGGTACCGAATTAGTTACCATTAAAAAGAAAAAGGATTTGGGGTTCTGATAAGAGTCAAACTTCCAAATTCCTATTCTTTTGCCTGGGTCAAAGGCACATGCTCTACAAGGCAGTTAAAATAATTTGTGTTATCGGGAGTCACAAATCTGATTATCTGAGAGAAAAATATGAAACCCAAATTTCTGTTAAGAATACGATGGATCCCAGGGCAAGCACACTCTCTGCGTAAGAGTCTCGTGAACGGCTTAAAATGATCAAGCCTTAACATATAAAAAACAAATGCAAATCATATCATTTTAAAATGCTTTGGTTTTTTTTTAAAAAAAAATAGATGGCAGTGGGAAATAACGGGAATCAGGGGAAAGAGTCTGTCTTTGCCTGAGGTCCATCTTCCCGGGAAAGAGGACGCTGCCCCCGCCACGGACACGGCGAACATCACCCCTCTCAGCACAGCTCTGGTGAAGACGGAGGCCGCACCCTCAACAGCCATCCCAGGGTGCCCAGTGGTCAGACAGTGGCCGGCCCACCTCGTTTTCCCCGATCTCGGCTCTCTGCGGCTGGGCCGCCTGTGCCTGAGACGGTGCCAGGTGTTACCGGCCGTGCTTCGGGACGGCAGCGGGGATGGCGGGAGTGGACAGGTCGGCTCCTGGGACCACTAGCCAGGAGCTTCAGAGTGAAACGGATCGCCGGAATAGGAACAAACAGAAGCGGCCAAGAACCCTCACCACTTTCCATGTGACGTGACTCTTAGGAAGATGAATGCTACGGCAAAGTGTGGCCACAGCAGATCCTGGTCAGCCCAGAATGAACCCGCAGAGGGGGGAACCCGGCTCTTTGTTTTTTATTTTTATTTATTTAATTTTTTAGTATACAGAGAAATGGACAACCTCTCACGGCCTGCCTGTGCCCACGCCCAGTGGCTCTGCGGAGCACACCGTGACCAAGGAAGTGCGAGCGCAACAGGGAGCCTGGTCAGGAAAGGACCTGGGTGTCACAGCGGGCGAAAGCGACTGTCTGGGCTCAGCCAGCGGCGCCACTGCTGGAGCCAACGAAGACCCTTCCAAAGTCAGAGCAGACAGATGTCCTCTGTCACAGCCGAGGGTGCGCAGAAAGCAACCTGAAGGTTCCGGGTAGCTGCTGAGACATCTTCAAGACATGAAGCGCCTAACTAAGTAGATTACTGGGAAGAGCAGACAAATCCACAGTCACGTGGGCAACTTGGACATACTTCCATTAACAGATACCACAGAAAAATTCATTCAGATCAAGAACACCCGAACTCAGGGTTCAAAAACAATCCAAGCATTTACATCCCTCGCAGTATGTTTCAAATATTTACCAAAACTCACAATAGGTGGAGTACAAGCCTAAACAAATTTCCAAGGAATGAAATAATTCAGATTATATTCTGTAAGCACAGTGGGTTTAAGCCAGAAATCAATTTCTATTACCATTTCAACAGTTAACAAAAATAACTGCATAACTAGAAAATCCCAGACTACCTGGAAATCAATTACATTTCTAAACAAACTACTATTAAAAAATAAATAACCACTTTTATCTTATTTCCCAAATAGAGCTGTAATCAAAATTAAAGCTCACAAATACCTTTAATTCTCTGGAGTATGAAGTGGAAAATGGCAATAAAATCATTTCTCTCGTCCTTATAGACAACGGCAAAAAGACTCGGCACAGACAGAAGCCGCAGAAGAGGCCCGTTCACGCCACAGGGGAAGGACCCCCCCACTCCGCACGGCCCCCAGAAACAGATGCCTCGACCTGATGGGGGTCACACAGTGACACCTTCCAAGCAGGGCAGTGGGCAGCAGGGCCCGTGTCCCTCACCATGTGGGTCGGGCTAGACTCCCGTCACCTGCAGGACACCAATGCAGATACCCGGGGGCAGGGCGCGGCCCAGGAGACCCTGCAGCTGGACTGTGACCACTCGGGACTCAGATTTTCAAGCATCTCCACTCAACGGCCTGAGGCCCGACGTGCCCTCGGCTATAGCCCTGTCTGTGGCTGTTCCAGGTTCTCAGGAGACTGGTAGGCGGGCACACACAGGCCAGCAGCAAAGGTGTTCTGCTCTTCTCAGCCAACCTCTGCTAAAAGCAGCGCGTACTATGCTCCCCTGAGCAGGGGCTACGGAATTCTCCCAGCACGAGGGCCAAGAGCGTCGGATCCGGCACTGAGGACTGGGTGCTGCCGCGCTGGACTCAAGCACCCGTGACACCTACCGCAGAGGACAGAGGGCCACAGCAAGTCAGCCCCAGCAGGCAGCCTCTGCAGGGAGCGGGCACACGCCTCGAGCCGTGCTCTGAAATGCGGACGAATGTTCAAGAGCGGCGAGGCGAAGGCCAGCACCATCCCAGGACGTCGAGAGCAGGAGCATGGGCGGCACAGCTGAGCGTCCCCAGTAGGATACGGCCCCTTGTCCACCCAGGCCTGCGCCAGCATCCAGCACTCACAAGGAGCCTGCGATGAAGCCAGCCAGGCCCCTCCACGGGACCCGGTCAGGCGCCCCCCATGCTCACGCACCCTCGGCCTTGCCGGGTGTTCGCCCCAAAGAAACGGGGCTGATGCTGCAAATCGCAAACGTTGTATTGAAAAAAGGAAACTTAAAGTATTGGCCAGAATCTGATGCTAGAACGAAGACCACCGTTTAACTGGGCGTCCAACATGCCTGAGGACAATGAACGGGCAGGCTGGCCTGTCCCCAGCCATGGCGCAGCTGCAGCCTTCACAGCTGTCTGCGGACGCGGCACCGCGAGCCTTACCTGCATGCAGGTAGGCCAGGTCGGGGTTCTCGATGTCGGGGTGCTGCTCCTTCAGGTGGTTCCGGAACTCCACGGGGACGTTGGTGCCGTAGTCGCACTTGGGGCAGTTGTACATCCTGACGCCCTCGTGCTTGCCCGTGTGCAGAATGTGCTTGCGGATGTTCTCGGCACAGTTGGACCTGAGGGCGACAAGAAGCCAGAGTGAGGCCCCTCCGGCAGAGAGCACTGGCTCTGAGAGTCCCAGAGGGGCGGCTCCCAAGGTCCTGCTGCCCGCTTGCTCCTGGTCTGGACACAGCCACTTCCAGGCTTGGTACTCGACCTCCCAGCCACCCCTGCGGCACCTGGAGCCCAGAGCGGTTCCTGGGGACCGGCACGTAGGCCGAGGCCAGCGCAGACAGTGAGTGGGAGGGGACCGGGCGGTGGGGCCTGCTCGCTCGTGAGTGGAGAACAGTGCGTTGGTGGGTACAGCAAAGATCCCAAACAGGGCCGCATGGTATCCTGGGGCCCTACGGAACAGAAGCCAGCAGGGAACGCGGCTCGGCCCGGATCCAAGTGCCCCTGCAGTGGGCGCTCCTGGCTGCGCCCGGCTCCGCTCTGCAGTCCCTGGAGACCTGTCACTCGCAACACGCGTGCTCGGATGTGAGAAAGGAACCAAACCAGGGCAAGGCAGCTGTGTGCCACAAGGAACACCATTCCCTGAAGTCACACCAAGAGCCAAACCCGGGGCATGGTGCAGTCCGTAGGTAAACACCTCACAGGGGCCCACACACAGGCCAGGCCCAAGAGCCAAGTCTGGTTCACCTCCACTGCATGGCCCTCTGTAGGGTCAGCACACGGTAGGGTCATCACACGGTAAGGTCACCACACGGTAAGGTCATCACACGGTAGGGTAACCACACCATAGGGTCACCACAAGGTAGGGTCACCACACTGTAGGACACCACACTATCGGATCACCACCCTGTAGGGTCACCACACTGTTCGTCACCACACTCTCGGAGACTGTGCTGTCCACTTCTATTCAGTTCCTAAACACGTTCAAAGGCCTGTTCAGCCAATACCTAAGTTCGCAACCTTAAGTGAACAACATTAGCATCCCTAGGTTTTAAAGAACAGATTTTGCAGTGGTCCCTTGGCATGGGCGCAGGCCGTGAGGCTCTGGGGGAGGGTCTCACACTCTGGACCATGTGCAAAGGAGGCCACGAGGGTCATGCGTGCCCAAAGGCCCTCTCTCCTCACCCCTGCCTTCACAGCGACTCCCCGCTTTCTCGAGAGCTGCGTGGCTCAGGGGCGCTCAGCCTGTCCTCCCTGAGCAAGAAAGTCCACGGTGAGGGGTGGCACTGCTTACGGCAGGGTGGGAGGGGGTTCCGGCCCTCAAGTAGGGGGGTTCCAGGTAAGCCGCAGCCCCTCCTCGCTCGGCTGACACAGCAAGGACCCGGGCATTCCTTCCGTGAAAGAACAAAGCCAGGGCGGAGGGTTTCTGTCACGGGGAGGTGGTCCCTGCCCACCTCACGGAAGGGGCTCGGGGGACGGGAGGCAGAGACAGGAACGTCCTCAGGGGTCACGGCCAGGACAAGCATCCTGAACTCCCCCACGGGCTGGGTGAGCCGCTCCAGCCCCATTCTCCAGCCCTCCCCTTTGGTTCCCACGGAGCTACAGACGCCCCCAAATCACGGCTGTTTACCGACACTGGGGAGGAGAACAACAGGCTCCCACTGCACTTAATTAGCGTGTGGCTCTGGCTGGGCCCGCATGGGGCACCCACATTATCTCCTCACAGACTCCGCACGAGATCCTGCCGGCGCTCATCCGGAAGAAGGGACGCGACCCATTACGCACGGCTCCATCTAGGGGGCAGATTCACATGGAGAAAAATCAAAGCAGCGCAGCCTCATCTTCGGTGGAAGAAGAAGGACACGACTTGGAGAACACAGCCGGCTAGCTTCTGAAGATGCTGTATTAGAATTAGTTTTGCAAGCAGTGTGTAGAAGCTAAAAATGAGGAAATTACTCAAGTCAGTCCGTTGGGGGAGGATTGAGGGAGGTAAGAGGTCTCTTTTTTGTTAAAAAATATAGATCAAAATAAGAAAGAAGTATGAAATGACTTTTTTTTTTGCTTTTTTTTTTGGGTCACACCCGGCAATGCACAGGGGTTCCTCCTGGCTCTGTGCTCAGGAATTACCCCTGAGGTGCTCAGGGGACCATATGGGATGCTGGGAATTGAACCCGGGTCGGCCGCGTGCAAGGCAGACGCCCTCCCCGCTGTGCTATTGCTTCAGCCCTGGAACGTGACTTTTAAAAGAAATCGAAGACTGACTCACACATATCTAGAAATCGACATGTGATTTCACCTACGCTGTGTGTATGTACGATGTTTATAATGTACAGATATAAACCACGTGTGCATATATTTAAAATTCTTTGTTTTAGACACATTAAAAAACAAAGTAAACAAGAAAAAATAGTAATGATAGCAACAAAATAAAACTAAAAACTTTGTGTTTTTATAGATATTAGTTCATTTGTATGTTATCACATCTGCCCTTCTGCATGAAATGTCATCCTGCATCAAACTTCTTAAAAAATATTAATGCACAAGGAGCCCTTCACGCCTACAAAATCACGAGCTTTCCAATTCTCACCTGGCTAATCTGAGCGCTCAAGTCCTCTCTCAATGGCATTTAAGGCTGAGGAGCTACACGGGCAGGTGCTGACCCGCAGATCCAGACGGCCAAGAAACCCGCCAGGCAAACCAAGCTGGCGTACGGCGATTGGGAGACGGGCGCCTGAACAGTTCCTTCAGCCTGAGAATAAACTTCAAGAAAGGAGCTACTTCTCTTGTCTCCCATTCATGGATCGAAGGATTTTAAACTAAGAAGGCAATCTTTCCAAAAGCATCTTCCTATTCAATGCAAGGACTACCCAAGTCTCAACTGGACTTCTTCCAGCAATTGAAAACGCCGATTCTACTCTCACCTGAAAGTTCCCAGGGCTCCTATCAGCACCGTGTCTGGCTCGAGCATGCACACCCGTCACAGCACACCAGGCAACAGGCTTCCAACCGCTCTCTCCCCGTGGGCCGGCTCCGGCCTAGCGACTCGCGACAGAGAAGCAGTGCACACGAAGGAGTAACATACTGACACGCGCTCCCTCATGCTGAGGACCCTTGGAAACAGTGAAAGGGGCCAAGCAAAAGGGGCGATTCCTGGACGATGAACCCACCGGTAGGAGATGGTCATAAGCTCCGGAAATCACACGTAGGGCAGATCCCCGGCGGGGAGAGGGTGGGCAGAGCGTGTGGCTCGGGGGAGGCGGGGGCCTAAAAATACAATACATGGACTCGCCCTTGGGTTACAGGTGTCTACACCGGCTCCAGGCATTGAGCAGGACCCTCAGGGAATACCCCACCCCACAGGGAGCTGAGTGGGCACTGATTGAGGAGTCACTCTGGCCGTGCAGAGCGGGTCCCCTCCGCCCTCCCACGGTGAGTCTCGGGGCTGAGAGAGTGGCAGGGCAGAGCTGGCGGCCTGCACAGGCTGTGGAGCGGATGCTCGCTCTTCGAGTCTTGTCTGAAGTACAGCAGGGGTGAGTCAAGGCATCACGAGCTCCACGTCTCTCTCCTCAGACAAGAGTAACTCCCACGCCCGACACGCGCCCACTCCCTGCTCCGCACCTCCCCACGACCAACACAGCCAGCAGACCCCCCGCGCCCCCTGGGATGCCATTCATATGCCGCTTCTTCGGAAAAGATTTCGGAGTGAATGACATTTTATTCGGTTCAAAGTCGGTGTATTATTTTTAAACAGGAATATGCTGGGGCTAGAGTGATAGCACAGCAGGCAGGCTGCTTGCCTTGGGTGGGGCTCCAAATGGTACCCTGGGCACTGCCAGGAGTGACCTCTGAGCACAGAGCTAGAAGCTCGGAGTCCTGCTGGGTTTGGTCCAAAAACCAAAATGACACAAAAATATAGAAATTGGAAAGAAAGGAAGGAAGGAGGGAGGGAGGGAAGGAAGGAAGGAAGGAAGGAAGGAAGGGAGGGAGGGAGGGAGGAAGGGAGGGAAAGAGAGAGAGGGAGAGAGAGAGAGAGAGAGAGAAACCCTGCAAGCACCAAAAAGCCTCCAAAAATCATGCCAAGACCAGATACTGAGTGCCTAGAAACACAAGGACTGTACATTTTACCCTTAGTGCAGGAGTTAAATTATTCCGTTATTTGGTCATGAAAAAAGAAAAGGATGGAAGTGTCTGAACACTGTTTTATATGCAGTTTGGGACTCGAAGGGCCATCAAAGGGCACTGTCCAGACCCCACTGCCCCACCCCGGCGGGCACGGCATGCAAGGGCCAGCTGAGCTTCAGAAGAGCCCCTTTCCCGAACCGCGGCCCCCAGCCCAGCCCCGACTCCTCTGACCGAGGCCCTGACCCTGCCTCTGTTCGCCAGGCAGCTGAGTGGTCAGCACCACTGGCCCCGTCTCCCCGCCCGGGCCCCTCCTCTCCTCCTGGTTCCCGGTTCTGATCAGGGAGCTGCGTCCCGGCCCCCAGACCCGCACTGGCTCTAAGTGGGCTGGAGTGACTGGCACGGAGGTCACCCCGACCCTTTGCTAGCACACACAAGGGCGGAACGCATCACCTTGTAAAACACTTCCCCTTTCTGGATGCAAAGAGAACATCGCAACGCCAAGTGGAACAGCGTCGGATGCCAATGGGCATATGCTCCCGTAATGTGGGTGAATTCTGCCAAACTGCCCTCCAGAGGGGCAGCGACTCACACTCCCAACAGCAATGCCTGAGAGTCTGTTTCTGAATATTCCGCCAATGGAGCGTGCTAACCAACTTTCGACGTTTTGCCAATGTGGCAGGTGAAGAGTGCTCACGCGCCGGACTTTCTATTTTTGATTAAAAAAAAAAAATCAGCGGCTCTCTCTTAGACTGGTGAGGTCAAGTATCTTCTCAAGTGCTGAAAGGCCAATACACGCTCTGGCCTGGCCCAGCCCTCCGCCCCGCTGCTCCTCGTGCAGGCGGCCACCGTCTCCTGGTCACGGGGACCAACTCTGGCGAGGACGGCCGCGGCAGGGGTTCCCCTACTCTTTCTCTTTGGATTGGCTTATGACATGGGTGGGGGGCAAGGGGCTTTCTTAATTTCTTTTCATTATGTTCCCATTGTGTTCACTAATTCTTTTGCT